CTGGTCATTACGTAGAAAAAAGCTTTTTAGACAACCACCAAGGAGCTTGGTTCTATCGTCAACTGACGTTGCATATGTTTGAAAAGGTTAGGTTTTGAAGAATCTTGATATAACAGTTAAAATACATTCAACTGCACGAATATAAAATCACAGCAGTGATGTATTGGTAAGTGCCGGAAAAATTTGAACAAAGTACTTTTGTAATGAAAAAAATACTATATAATAAATCTTTGCAGTATTCTTTATTGTTGGTATTATTTGTCTTTTGAAAAATTTTTCTAGTTTAAAGTTATAAGTTATAAGTTATAACAAACAAAAGTTATAACTTTCCCGACTATGTTCAGTTTCTTATAAAAGACACTTCAAATATAGGTAAACAACTTTAAAATTAAAAAACCGACTAATACGGGAATAACTATTTACATTATCTGTAGGATTACCTAGTTTCAGTACACATTTAACGATTGTTTTCTCAGATACTTATTTTTCCTCAGTTGTTATAATAGTTTTTGTAAATAAAGTAATTGAATCTTAAATAATCCAATGATGTTGTCTCTCTGACAGTTGCTGAATAAGCGTTTACGATTAAAAAAATTCAATAATGATAATTTGAGTGAAAACTTTTACTGTAGGACATAACAAGTTAATCGTCAATGTACATTTTTGACAATAAAGCCCAAGTATTGAAACAGACGGTTGGTAATTATTTTTACGTTTAAAAATGACACATTAAATAAAGTTAAAAAGAAAATTCTGGCTACTTGTTCCCTGAGAATACCTGAACATACAGTTTTCAGAGCACCGCTAGATTTGACTACCTTTTGAGAGTGCTACTACTTCGTTGTACGTTAAGGTTTTCTGTTGCATATTTTCAGTAGTACTAATTTAGAAAAGTCTGTATCGATAGGATCGACTGTATCATTATCGATAGGAGATCTAGGTGCTATAATTGGGAAAAAAAAAGCGATAAGCCTTTCAGTGCGAGTACAAATTGCAGAAGAAGGCTTCATTGACTTTCTTAGGCTACAAAGGTCTCACTAATATGTTATCACCTTACAAAACCATATGACTTTAACACTAAAAGGATTCTCACTGATGTGTAGTAGACTGTTACAAATAGCTTCTCCCTTCCAGTAACTTGTTCAGTGCGTTTCTTTAAGTGAAGATTTTTTCCACTACAAATCCCCTTCAAAAGTTCTGGGAAGTTTCAAAACCCAAGGGTAGGTAAGGTACTGAATGTCTTTTGCTAGAAAGACACCAAGTTTTTCCGTAAGTAGAATTTGAAACGTTTTTGGCCAAAAAAAAATTACACTCCGCATCAAATCAGATTGTGAGGAATTTCTAGGCTATCTCAAAAGTCGGCGAATAGGCTGAATAAATTTGCACGGTAAGACTATATGATAAAATTAGCTTCTGTCTTTGCCGATGAAACGATGGTGTACAAAATTTTTGTCATTATTCCTTAAAAATTTTCTGGCCTTACAGTGATCTAAGAGGATCAAAAATGAACTGCAAACAGGTCTTTTAGTAAACGGTCTTCCGTTGTTAATACCGAGTTTCTTAGTTAAAATCCTCCACAGTTCTTCTATAGTTTCTTTTGATTTTCATAGTCCACCACTTAAATTTCGTTGCCAAGTCCAAAAAATATGTTGCTTTTTACTTTAAGGATTGTTCAAAGATGGAAGAAATCAATAAATTATTCAGAGGGAACTTATAATCAATGTTACGGTTTTTAGCCATGTTAGGAATGAGTGAGGTCCACTTAAGCCAGCCTAAAGTTTTACTCTATCAAAGGCGGTAGAATTACTCTTTCACGATATGTAAGTATAAGCAGAAAAGTAAAGCAAGTAAATTGTAAATAAGCGGTCGAAGGTTGGCCATCGGAAGTTGTTATCAGCCTATAAAGGTACGAGTTAGAAGGTGCAACGAAAAAAGAGGGTATTGTCAGTGTTCTTCTAAGTTAGTGGATGTTGTCAAAGACACCGAGGACCGTACTTTACTAGAAACAGAGCCATCATCAACCTGATGCCCATTTTCGCAAAAATTCCAAGACAGCCATTAGTGCAACGGAAATAAATTTTATACACAGATTCTTATGCTTATCTGGCAAATCAAATTCTCACTTATACACTGGTGTACATAATGAAGTTTACCAACTTTTTAAAGCAAGATTTTCCTCCGCCAAAGAATCCAAAAAAGGAAAACATTCAGAGCAAAATAACTGTAGCAAGCAACTTTGATAGTTGCATGAGCAGTTTGGTCTCGAAGCCATTGTCGTTTTGACGGTATGCAGCTCCGTGTTACAGTCTAAAAATTAAATTACTGTTTGGCAAAATTCCAATGCGCGTGCTGATTTCTGTAACCAAGTCGTACAGAGTCTAATCAAAAAATTGGAATATCCATGGTACTTTTGCTGCTTATTTTGGTCGATGACAATAGTGCCTCAGTTGCAAATTAGTAAATGGTGGTAATTTGTTGAGTTTGCTCAAACTACTATATTTTGAAATCTGTACCAATTAGGGAGGTTATGCACATTGCTAAGTGACTTTTAAAAATTAGCTTTCAGATTTTGCACATCGTTATGTGACTTTTAAAATAGGTTTTCAATGTTCAGTTGAAAAGATCATCTTTTATCTCAGATTAAATAATTTTGAAGCAGCAGCAAGTAAAATAAGCTAGTTTAAGCATTGCTCAGAATTTGTTTTTGTGCAGGGAAAAATATTTCGGCATGTTAATAGATGCTAAGCGACTACCGGTACAGCAGTGACTTCGATAATTGTTTGTATAAAAAAGTAAAAAGATTTAACTTTAGAAACATCGAAATAATAGTCCAGCGGCAAGAGGTGACCACTTAAGCAAAATCCTTTTTTTTTT